CACAATGCTTACTACATAAAAATAGTAAACAGTTTGGAAGCATTGTGGAGTAATTCCTACCTCCAGCCTTCTAGTATTTCTCAATTCAGACTAAACTCAGTTACTGACACAGCTACGTGCTCTGTGGATCCAGCATTGGTGGTGCATCACTGAGTTCTTACACGCCCACCTTCCTCACTTGCTGCTTCCTCAACAGTTAACTAATCTTGAGAAAGGATGGGGAGATAAGGACATTGGACAGGGCTCCAGAAAAGGGGTAACAGTTCTTATTCAACTCCCCTAGAAGACTCATGCCAGCAATTGCTGGCTCCTGAAGGAATTTAAAAGAATACCTTTGATTTTTGTTTCTTCACCCGTTTCTTCTTCTTCTACTTCTTCAACGTCATCCAAATCTTGATCAAGTTCAGACTGTTCTTTGCTACAATGTCATAGCATCACACCATAGTTTAAATGTATGAATTATAAAACAAAATTATAGAAACTATGCTTCTTTCAAAGAACAAATTAAAAAAGCAATTCAGTCTTCTATGTAGACAAATACTACTTAAAACTTCTACTTAAAAACAGTTTATACTTCAAGCTTTACAACTGCAGTTTGATAGATTTGTGACCTACATAAGTTTTCAAACTCATATCCAAAGGCTACATTCTTATATCACTGTATTGAAGAGCCCTGTCATCTTATTTAGGGCAGCAAATAAATGTGGAAGCCTGGTTTTCCTAGACCATTATGTAAGTAACTACAGCTAGGTTTTGGCAATGACATTGACATTTTATTTGCTGTTAATTTTGTACGCTTGTTTCATGTAGCTCAGGCTGGTATCTAACATCCTATTTAATTGAAGATAAACTTGGATTTCTGATTCTCCTGCCTCTACCTTCCAGAGTGCTAGGATAACAGACCTACACCACCTTGCCCAATTTATGATTGTGAGTTGTTGGGTTCTTTTGTCCTGTTTTTGTTTTTCAGATAGGATGTCAGTGACCATGCAGCCCTGGCTGCAGCAGATCATTAAAACAGAATTTAAAACTTTTATAAAAGAATCCTTGAAAAATGGTAGATAGCTAGAAAAACTTTCTAAGCTTGATCCATCCTTCCTTTCTTCCTAAGAAGACTACATCTTCAGCAGCCACATTAGACTATCAGACATCCCAGAAAATGTTAAGTATCCTGGCCAGCATTCAGGAAGCAGAGGCAGGCGGACCTCTGAGTTTGAGGTTAGCCTAGTCTAAAGAGCAAGATCTAGGACTGCCAGAGCTCAGAGAAACTGTGTCTTTAAAAAAACCAACCAATCAAACATTGAGAGATCCCACCATCTCTGATGTTTACTGATACTTGCTCCTCCATCCTCTGGCCTCATCTCCAGAGTACTGGGACTATACAAAGACATGTGCCTAGTGCTCAACTTCCTCATAATTCCTTTACATTTTAACATCTGGATTAAAGAGTTCTGACTTATATGTACCTAATATGACTAGTTATATATACAATAGAATTCAAAAACCCCTTCCCTAGCTGTGAGTTGGTTCCCACAACACTAGAAGCCAGGTTTACATCCAGACACTGCTCACCAAGGAACTGGACTACCGCCAGAAAAAGCATTCTGACACAGGGTTCTCTCATAGCTACACCAGAATCCCATTTTAGCAAACCTTTACTTTCTAATGACCAATCTTAACAATCAGATAATGCTATCTCATTAGGAAAGCCTGCTACAAAATAAGTCTATAACAAAAGGAGAAAAAAAATTAAGAGTAAATAAGACTAAATAGGAAAGAAACATTCAAAGAAGGAGTACAATCAGTGAAATCAGAAAAGGAAGCAAAGATTTGAGAACACAAACAGAATAATGAAGTCTTTACATTTCTGTGAAGAACAAAGAAACAAAGATGAAAAGCTGGGTAAGAGATACTAAAAGACCACTCCAACAAGATACAACATCTAACAAGAGCTGCAGAAAGAGAAGAAACAAGCCAATGAACAACACAGACCAGACATTCTATAGAACTAAAAGCCAATGGGTTTGGCCAAATGAAAGGGCCCACTATTGAATAGCTACTATCAAATGATAAAGACAAAATAACTAGACATTTTACAAACTAAAGCCAATTTAAAAAGAAATAGAATGCTTAAGTGATCAAAGAAACTGGCTTTGAATTTCAGTATCACACTGGAGGCACAGTAACAGAACAGTGCCTTCAAAATTCTGAATAAGAATGTTCATTAGAAAGAATTCTACCTTCACTATCAAGCATAAAGGAAAATAATAACTTTCAGTCCTGTTTTATGTCAAAGGAACCTACTTCCTTGTCTTCATCTAAAGAGAGTAAGCATATATAAAGAGGCCAAGATTGTCATACAAACTTGTATGTGTTGACCTTATGGTAAAGTTCCTGGCCCCCACCAAATGCCATGCCCTAGACATCTAAAAAGCCACTGGCAGCTTAATTAATGTATTCTATTTTAACCCATGATGAGCTAATTAGACTGTCAAATTAAATGTGACGAATCTTGTAGTCTCTCATTCTCCCTGACCACATCTCTGTAAGATAGCCACCCACGAGCCAGGAACGGTGGTGCATACCTCAATCCCAATCCCAGCACTCAGGGAGGCAGAGACAGGCAATCACTGTAAACTCAAGGACAGCCTAGTCTAGAGCCCAGGACAGCCAAGGCAACACAGAGAACCTTATCTCAAAAAAACCTCAACTAGGGGGGAGGGGAGGAAGAGACAATCCATCTACACTAAAAAAAACATGCCACATAAAAATGTGCTTGCACCTGTGTTTTCAAGCTGTCACAACAAACCCTTGTAGGGCCTCAAAGTTTACGCCTCTACAAGCAACACTGCTTTAAGTCAGTGCTTCCTACTCTGTTCTTCAAAATTCAACACTCAGCTGAGGAAACCGCTCAGTGGCAGAACACTTACGAAGCATGTGTCAAACCTCCATTCCCAGTACTGTCCCACCCTCCTCCCCAAGCCAATAGTAACCATTCGTAACCATTCTAAAGAAAAGCAAAGACATGAATTAAAATCAAGACTAGTGCTTACAACTCTGAGTAAGAAGCTGAGAAGGGTCTCTCACTGTCCACTTTTAACTTGGATATATGTTGATGTTTCAACTCTGCATGTGTGTACTCACACATGAATGTTAGGAAGAAAATGTTGAGAAATATATATGCTAAAATTCTCCCAAGTACTTATGATCTATTATCATGCCCAGCACTTTTCTAAGAATGAATACTGACAAATGGTTTGCTGTATTTTTCTGCCTTCTTTCGGTTTTCTTGGAGACAGGGTCTCAAATAAGTAGCTCTGGTTGTTCTGGAAGTAACTATGTAGATCAGGCTAGCTTCCAACTCAGAGATCTACCTGTTTCTGCCTTCCAAGCACTGGGATTAAAAGCAGATGCCACTTCTGGTTTTATGTGCCCTAGGCATGAAACAGCTTCGGCCACCAAGCCAGGCATCAAGCTAGGATGAACAAAGGACTACCATCTGTTCTGCCCCCGACTGATATAAGAACAACACCACCAAAAAGGTGCCTCTTTGCCCATTGCCAGGGGGTGGTTTAACATTTATGAGTGATTATATGTGTGTGTATATGTATACACACACACACATATACATAAAATATATCTAGAATTTTAGAGTAGATATTCCACCCAACTTCCAAAAGCAGGCACCAAAGATGTCGGCAACATACATTTTCAAAAAATACAATTTGTACTATTTATTAACTACATACATCAAAATACAGTCTCTGAAAAGGAACCCAACTATTTGCCACTTACTTGTCAATGTCTGCCATCTTGTAAGAACTGCAAATATCTACGAAAAAAAAAGAATCAGGGTTAAAAACAAGTATGGCTTGCTGAAAGCTAAGAAAAACATTTGAAATGAAACCCTATGAATCAATAAAACAAATTCTAGTAATTTCATAATCCCTTTAAAATAGCATGTGTCAGCCAGGCTGTAATCCTGGCACTCAGGAAGGCAGAGGCAGGCACATCTTTGAGTTTGAGGCCAGCCTGATCCACAAAGCAAGTCCAGGACAGCCAGCTACACAGAGAGAAACTGTATCTGGGGGTGGGAAGATGGAGCGTGTGTTTAAAACAAAACAAAACACACACACACAAAGGGGCCATCATAAAAACTTCAGAGGCCAGGTTAATTTCACATAGACAAAAGAAAGTACAGTGATCTTTATTCAAATACTTTTAATGATAGTGAAAGGTCAATTTCTTTTTTGGAAAAAAAAAAAATTTTTTTTTTGTTTTTTCCAGACAGGGTTTCTCTGTGTAGGCTTGGTTCTCCCGACCACACTGGCCTCGAACTCACAGCAATCCACCTGCCTCTCTGCCTCCCACAGTGCTGGAGTGCTGGGATTACAGGCATGTAGCACTGCGGCTGGCTGAAAGGGTCAATTTTTCCTTAGCCCCTTAGAATTGCTTTTTTAAGACAGGCTTTCATCAGGTAACCCTGTGTGGTCTGAAACTCACTCCATGGACCAGACTGACCCCAACCTGGAGAAACCTGCCTGTCTCTGCTTCCCCAGGGCTGGGACTAGAGGTATATACACACCCAACAATCCACTCTTTTTTAAAAGCACTTTTAAATGCACTTATTTATTGGGTGTGTACCATGCATGTGTGGAAGTCAGAGAACAACTTACATGAGCTGGTTCTCACATTCCATATGGGTCCTGGGCATAAAACTGAGGTCATCAGGCTTGGTGGCAGACAACTTTTACCTAGTAAGCCATCTTACCAGCCCAAAACCAGTAATTACTTTTCAACTCAAATTCACTTCAACTTTGCTTAATTACTGTCCTATTAAAAAGCTTAATAGATCCTGCATTAAATATTAGTATTTTTCAGTTATTTTATGAAAACTGGCGCCAGAACCTTGGAACAGCTGCTAAACGTGCTGAAAGATAAGAGACCAGCCTGAGCTAAGTTCTAGACTTTGCCTAAAAATCTACTTCCTTTAGCCACAAATTAATGTTTTGCCCTCTAAACACTTATATGCTACAGCTTAGCATACCCTGACACTATATTCACAGGCACTCTCATACAAAAAATAAGTGAGATAACATCCTCCTACCCACAAAGAATTCATAGAAGAAATTAATGAATCCTATACTATAAAAGCCTAAATATTACCATCAAATGGACAGGCTTACCAAGTCTGAAGATAAAACTGGGAACTGTGGGTATGACTTAACGGTAGAGCATTACCCAGCATGCAAAAGGTCTGAATTTGATTTTAGGGAAAAAGCGGAGGAGAGGCAGAATGAAGAAAAGCATCATCTACAACAGAAAGCCATCTATTAACGATCAAATTTAGAAACTAAATAGAATTCCCAGAATAAAAATAAAATACTGACATCAAGCTAAATAGGTTGGCTCAACAGTAAATTAGGTTTGGTTTAGGAATAGATTAATTTAAAAGGAAGCTAGAAGTCATATTGCAAGCAGGTCAGGACTGAAAGAAAATACTCGGAAGGAAGATTAGGATATAACAAAATGGAACTGAGATTGGATACAAATTTTAAAAGCATATAGATTAGAACACTCAATTTCTGTAAGTGATGAAATGCACCAATCTACAGTTAAAAGAAACCCTATAAATCCACTCTCCGAATGAAGATGAAACATGCTGCGATGCAGCAGTAAAGAGAAAAAAATAGCACCATGGGTGGTAGTACACGATGCAAGGACCCCGGTGTGTTAACCTACGATTTCAGACCATATGAAATCAAAATAGCTTTTTAAAATTAAGAAAATTAAGGGAAACGAGATAATTGGAAGCAGAAAAATGCCTCCAAGCAATCTCACTAGAAATATTGTTAAATATACACTTATCTAGAAGGAAAAGTGATTCCAGGTTGATATTTGAGGGTTTTTTACATACCCATTCACTATAATGCTCAGGACGTGCTCAAACTACTGAGCTCATGATCCCCCAGCCTCAGATACCCCAATACTGAACCATAAGCATATCTCACCATACACAGCTAAATAGTAATCCCACCATGTTTAGAGCAGTAAAACACCATTCTAACCAAACTGTATCACTATATTACCAGGAGGAGAAAAAAATTCAAGAACATGAGATATAAAAGGTTCAGTGTGTAACCCAATATTGTACTGACCATATTAACAGGAAAGGATGCTGGTTTCTAATTAATTTTCCTTAAGTCATTTATTAATCTGAATTGAAATAAGTACAATCTTCCACAAAAGTAGAGGGAAGGAAAACAAATGCAAAACACCTGACTACACACACACAGTTATCATTTTATGGTCTTCTAACAGATATCCAAACACCTGCTGGTAGATCATTTTCTGGAAACATTCCCCAATATATTAATCAGTAGGCAAATTTTTCCTCTTTAGAAAATGGTGACTTTATGATGAAAACAGGCAATCATTTTAAAAATGTGAATGGTTTATAATGAGAAACCAGTAAAAATCAGCCTTTATTTCTCTCAGACCCCATTCAATTCCAAGAATTTCATTAGTTCAGGGCTCCAATTCAACTTCACAGTTTAAAGAGCACCTTAAAAAAAAAAAACACTTTCATTCTTATACTAAGTCACATTACAACTGGCCATGTATTAAACTCTAAAGCAAAATGGAGTATTTGATAACACTACCTTCTTCTTTCCAAGGGTTTCGCCCAACTCAACAGTAGACTCACATGTACAAAGAATGGCATGCAGCAAAACCCCTCACTTGCTAGTAACAATCTATGTGCAATTTCCATATACATGACATACATAGCTCACATGCAAGCAAAGACAAAAGGCTTCCACGCAGCCACTATCTAATTGCATGCAAGCAAATTCCATATTGAAACAAAACCATCTGACTACACTAGCTTTTTACCCAGAGCAAATAAATCCCAGGATTTTCACACTGATGTGTGGTATTTCAAGTCTAACAACATACCTTAAAGCCCAACATAAAGAAAGAGATGGCTTAACGTTTTCCCTGCAGAGACCTGGCATCAATTCTCAGTATCCACTTGGCAGCTCACAACCGTTTGTAACTCCAATCCCAGGATTTTGACACCTCTTCTAACCTTTACAGGTACCAGGCACACATGGTACAGACATACATGTGGCCAACACTCATACACACAAAATTTAGCTTAAAAATGTTAAAACTAATCTAAGTCATCACTATAAAACTAAGTAACCCTAAGTAAGCTTTTTAATCACCTGTTTTCTAGTTAAATGTTAGTGCTACCACCTAAGCCATATACAGTAAGATAGGGTCAATAAGAGAAAGCAAATGCCACTTAACAGCATTAAATGACTCACATGGAATTTGAACAATGCCAAGCACTCCCAGCACTCCAAAGAGGCAGAAAGATCTGAGTTCAAGGGCAGCCTTGTCTACACAGAAGTTCTAAGACAGCAGAGCTACAAAGAGAACCCACCTTAAACAAAGCAGGCCCTAGTAATCACTGTGCCTTGACTATTTGTTCCACCTGTGGTAACCCCCTTTTTAACATTTTGTAATCTTTATTTTCATCTGACTGGGTGTTCTGCCCACATGTATGTATGTGTTGTACCATGTGCATGTTGGATCCCCTGGGACCAAAGTTAGATAGTTCTGAACTGCCATGTGGGTGCTGGGTTGTCGGGAAGAGCAACCAGTGCTCTTAACCCCTAAGCCAGCTTTCCAGCCCCCGGGGTACTCTATTCATTGTGAGAAAAGTATAGCTTCTTTTTCAGGGAAAAAATAAAATAAAAATGTGAAAAACTTTTGAAGTGGAAAAAAACTGCACAAATACATTTTTAGCAATGAAAGGCAGTTGCTAATCCAAGGTGCAGTAGTTACTTTCTCTTAAACCCAGGATTATGGTCTGGTCTTAAAAATGAAGAACTAAAACCAGCAACCATCATAAAGTATATACAGTATGGCTTAAACCAGCATAAAGCAGCTTACTCGAGCTACCTCACCTCCAGCATGCACAACGAAAACCTGCTGAGATGAAATTAGTTTGAAAACGAAGTTTAATCAGCTCTAACAGGCCCTTTTCTGTACAAGTCATAATTACCTTAAGCTTCTCCAATCCTTTCTTCTCAGTCCTCACAGCTTAACACCTCATACAGACAAACCAATTGTTTATTTGCTCATGGTATGAGATACAGATCAGAATAGGTTTAGTTTTAGTGTGGTGAATGCGCATTCATATTTCTAGAAATTCAGATTCTTTAATCCTTTTGGATTTACAAGCAAACAAAACAAGCCATTAAATCTTTTTTTTTTAGTCATAGTCCAGCTCTTTCAGCCCATTTTCCTGTATTGGCTTAGGTCACCTGGAGCCAATACAAGCAAGCACATAATGAAACTATAGAACTTTAGTCATATTGGTTCTCATGAAATCTCATGAAAGGACAAGTTAGGCACCACACTCGTGTTAAATTATTGTCAATTATAGGGCACAATACTAAAAAGCAAAATATACAAAACAGGTATTTTGCAACACATAAAATTGACAAACTTCTTGTTGAGATGTTGAGGAGCCTTTAACTTCTCTTTAATACTCTAAACACTGCCGTAAAAAGAACATCTATTAAGTCAAGATTTTATGACAGATGTCTAAGTCCCTACTAATACTAAATTAAATCCCTCCAATTCAGACTTAGAATTAAAGTAGTTTAAATCTGGGATGTATACTTCACCTATAAGCAAGTTTGAGAGACAAAAATTCCCCAAGAGCACCAGAAATCCCAGTTACTTGAGTTAGTTTTAAAATAAATCGGTCAGGGGGAGTGAGCCTGTAATCCCAGCACTCAGGCAGAGGCAGATAAATCCATGAGGCCAGCCTACAAAAGACAGCCAAGGCTACACAGAGAAACCCTATTGCGAAATAAATAATTAATATAAACCTGTCTTTGGTTTCCCCCTAATCCAAAGTATTCTTTGCCTATTAGTTTTGAGAGAGTTCTGCTGGCACCTATTTTCAAAAAGCAGCAAAGTTTGTGATGGCTCTTCTTAAATCAGGTTAGTTGATGTTCGGAGTCTTGTCTTTTCAGAATTTGGATATGTACGATGTGGGGAGTCCTTGAAGACTTAAAAGTCTGGGGCATCCTTTGATTCTGAAAAGTCCAGCCCTCCCGACAGGACCGCTCCAACGCCACTCCCGAAGCGCACTGAGCTTCAACAGCATATAAATATATTATACATGTGTATAACATATATGGCCTGCTCCATACCTCCACTTCATCCCTAGTTGAGAATTCCGGGGTATTCCGTAAGGGTAAAATACACTATTGGTCTATTGGCCTCAGAGACCCCCCAAGAAGCCACCCTCTTCATTTTTCACCTTAGAACCATCTGCAGGTTTAAGGGGACTAGGACTAGTCTCTCCACACAAACACAGCCCCCGGCCATAGCACCCATCGAAGTTCTAACTGAACCTGTGAGACACAAAACTCATCTATTGTTTACGGAAAAAAAAAAAAAAAGAAAGAAAGAAAAAAACCCAGCGATGGCTAAACGCTTTGCACGTGTTAACCCCCCGAAGAGCCGGGCGGCGGAGGCTGCCTCCCCCACCCCCACCCGCCTCCCGGCCGCTAGCTCGCTCCTTTTCCTGCAGGGATGCGTGCGAGCCCCGGGAGTCCGCTTCTCGTCGCCACCCTTCCTCCGACAACTCTTGAGGGAAGTCGGTCAGGGTGAGCCCGGGTCAGGGGTCTCCGGCCGCACGCAGCGCGGTCCCCACGTGCCCGGGCTCCTCCGCGCGGAGGCCGCGGCCTGTGCAGCCCTCCCTGCGGGTGGAGCTCGCCGCCACCGTTTCTCCCGCCCCCCCCCACGTTCCCCGCGGCCTGCCTCTGCCGCGTTCCCCTCGTGAAAAGCGGGCGGGTGGGGAGGACACACCGACGGGGCGGCGTCCCGGGGCGAGCCGGTGGGCCCCCGCGGCGTGGCCTCCTTCCTCCTCCGCGCCCCGCGGCCTCGCTGTCCCGCGCGCTCCGCGGCGGGCGGCGCTCCCTGGGGGTCCCTCAGGCCGCACAGACCCCCCCGGAAACGCCGCCCGAGGCCTCGGTTCCCCTCGACAAACACCTCTCGGATCCCCTCCCCACGCCCCGGCCCTCCCGGCCGGCCCCGGCCGTTACCGTTCCAGGAGGGCTCGGACGCAGAGGCGAGCGGCCGGAGCTGCGCAGGCAGTGACTCAGGGCGGCGGCGGTGGCGGTGGCGGCGGCGGCGGCGGTGGCGGCGGTGGCGGCGGTGGCGGCGGCGGCGGCGGGAGGAGCGGGAGGCGGCGCCGCGAGCAGATGGCGCTAAAAAAGACCCGAGAGCCCGCCGCTCGCGCTCATATACAATTAGCGTCAGCACGTAGGGCCGCTCCGCCGCCCTCCCCTCCCCTGGCCTCGGCGTTGCCTAGCAACGGGAGCGGGAGGCGGGCCCGGGCCTTGTTGCCTGGCAACAAAGCCGCCCTTCCTCCCCGGGCGCCCCAGGCTTCCCGCCAGAGGCGGTCCTCGGCTCGTTGCGCACTCCGCCACGGCCTGTCCTGCCTGCGCTGGGGTGGACAGCCCAGCTGCGAAAACCCTAATGGCTTGCCGCTAGTTCTGCTTGTCCCCCTGGCCGCAGTCTTGCAGTATCCCGGCTAGGATTCCCATCCGTATCCAGGCCTAATTCCTGCACCTCTTAACCGCGTCTCCTCTGAAACCGTTTTCCCACCCTAGCCAAGACCCCTGTGACCTAAGAGCCAGCTTTTAGGTGACCACCCCAGCGGCACCTTCTATAGGTGTTGCTCTTAGCTTGGGGAGCCTCCACGGCTTCTGAGGTCTTCCGCACGTGATGTGCGAGCCTTCATTTCTGTTTTAGTTCATTTGATGAGGGAAAAAAAAAAAGTGTGTTTTATGTATTCTTTAAAGTGCTTTATAATGAAAATAATTTTAACGAATGTTAATTATGAAAATAATCAAAGTGTATCAATTTTTTCACCTTCCTGAAAAAGTAGATACTATATAAACCCCTAACTTGTGAAACCTGGCATCTATTTTCTTTTTTTCTTTCCTTCATTTATTCACTGAGACAAGATTTCTGTGTTAACAGCCGCAGCTGTCCTGGACTCCCATTTGTAGACCAGGCCTCAAACTCACAGAGATCCGCCTGCCTCTGCCCCCTGGTGCTGGAATAAAAGGCGTGGACCTGAGATTAAAGGTGTAGATCACCAAGCTCAGTTTTGTAGCTACTTTTCAATTGACTAGGGATCACCTTTTAACTCTGTGTTTGGTGCTTTTTGGCTTTGTTTTTTAGCGCAGGGTAACGTTGTGTAGTCTATGCCCGTATCAATTTTTTAATCTTCCAGAGTGTGGGCATGTGCCACAACACTGAGATCTACAAATAAAATAGTTGTGCTTTAAGTGTGCTGTGACCTTCCACACACCCTTTAAGGCGGAAGGTCAGCCCTTGTCTATAATACTAAGGCACTGTCTACATTTTTACATTCTCATTCCCCCATAAGCCTACACAAGAGCCTTCCAGGCACTACACATCCTGTGATAAGGAAACATTGGAAATACAGACAGACAGATGGGAGGATTTTGTTATCTGTTGTGAAGTCAGGCATAGAAGAACTTGGTCAAAAAAAAGAAAAGTAATGCGTGCATATAAAAGTCTATGTGCTATTATTATTTTAAAGAAAGGATAACTAGTCTTTGAGCTTTGCAGTGCTGGGGCCGGTGGCTGTCGCTCATTTGGTAGGTAATACGCACGAAGCCCCGGGGCCCAAACCCCAGCACCATGTACCACGTGTGTTGTCTGTCATGCTTCTGCAATAGCAGCAGCACTCCAGAGCTGGAGGCACACGGTTAAGCAGGTTAGGTTCATAGCCAGCGTGGACTACTTAAGGTCCCATCTCAAAAAAGAATCACTGCTAATTTCCAGCAAGATAACCATCAGTATCAAGAATGCATACAAAAGTTCTCTGGGGGAAAGTAGTGTGGTGTCACACACCAGTCAAGCCAAAAGATGGAAGGTAAAGACAGGATTTTTTTTTTTTTTTTTTTTTTTTTTAAATTTCGGTGCAGCCTGGCTACATGGTGAGACCCTCTCTTAAAGCTTTTGGACTCTTCGGGTTTTTTTAATGGAAAGGTCCTGAGACATCTAAATATTATTTTCCATGAAACATCAAAACATCCATAATCACGTATTGTAGTCCTCACATGTAGGAACCAGCACTTCTGCATTAGAGGAGGCCATTTTTAAAATAATATGTTTATTTATGTGTATGTGTGTGCCCTTGAGTGTGTGCTTGCAAATTCCCATAGGCTACTAAGTGGGTATTCAGGTCGCTCAGAAGCCAGCTTGAAGGAATCAGCTCTTTCCTACCATGTGTTCCCAGGGATCTAACTAAGGTCATCAGGCTTGGTGCTAAGTACCTTTACACACTGAGCCATCTCATGGGATTGATTTTTCCCCCCTTTGGTACTCTCTAACCTTGGTGAAATTTGTTGTTTTTAACAAAATCTCAATCAGTAGATTTTGCCAACAAAGACTCGGAGAGCCAGATGCTGGGGTGAAAGCCTGCTAGATCAGAGAGGCACAGAAATCACCCAGCTGACCTTCCTCCTCACCCGATGTTCCAGAAGCAATGCCTCCTTCTCTCTCAAAAATCTCTCAAACTGAATGTCCCTCACTTTTACTTCCTGTCTGTCTCTCTATCCATCTTCCAGACTTCCTCTTAATCTCTATGGTTTGTTCTTAAGCATCATATACTCACTTCCCGTTAGCTGGTTGCTGCTCCACCTCTTGACCTATGGTGGACTTTACGTAATCCTGTTTACAATATTCAAGCAAAAAGGCCTTGGTGTGTGCTAGGACTGAGCCACACCACAACTAGAAACAACTTTTCCCAGTAAATAACATAATCTCAGAGTTCATGGTGTGATCAAATATCCTGCAACAGAAATTAGTTATATATTTTTTTTTCTAGCTCAATAGATATGTTTCAGTGTACTCACTTGTTTGGATATTCATTGGTGAGTCTTTTGTTTGTTTGGGATTGAAATAGTGTATTCTTACTATGCTGTAAAGTAGACAAACAAACTCTAAAAGTCCACACTGACCTAAGACCTGTCTCAAGACACAGCCCATTCATTGGAGGCAAAGCCAGACTACCTATGCATCAGCCTAGCATCAGAGCCTGTACTCACAGTCTCTCCAGTTAAATGCAGAGGGTGTATTTCTATGGTTTTAGGAATTCATTTCCAGAGAGAAGTATGCAAACAATCAGTTCTGCAATTCAGTATGAGCCCTTCTCATGGAAGAGAGCAAATGGGGTAAGAGTGTAGAAACAGCTGTGCGAGAGTAAGACCCGTGTTCCTGGCAAAGGGACAGCCATATGGAATAAGGTTAGTCAAGTGCTTCAAGGTCACCCGGGAAATCTAGGATCAAATCCAGAACTGCTGAAATGATGACCTCCTTTTTGCTTAGTCATGGAATTCACATTTGCAAAAACTCAAGCCAAGGCATCATGAAATGAGTTGTGTGATGGCTAATATCATCAATATGGAAGGAGCTAGGAGGAAAAAAAACTAGTGTACCCACAAGGAAGCTTCTAGAGTATGTTATCTGAAGTGGGAAGTCCCGAGTATGTGTAGGTGGCATCAATCCATGGGCTGTCTTGAACTGAATAGAAAAGAGGAAGCAAGCACCGGCCTTAACTGCTTCCTAGTTCTCCAGTGCATGCAATACAATCAGCGCAACAAGCCTTCCTCGACACCAAACACTGACTGCGTCTTCAGACTCTGAGCCAAAATAAATCCTTCCTTCCTTAAGCAGCAGCTCCATAGGCTGTCACAGCAATTTTAAAGAGTGACCAATACAGGTTCATAGGAAGTATTTTATCAATTGGATTTGGACTTACTCATAACAACTTTCAGATGTCAAGCCACCTCTGATCTAAGTAATCTCTTTTTTGTTTATTTGTCTTTTCTTTATTGAGACAGGGTCTCTCTATGTAACCCTGGCTGTCCTAGTACTTTCTTTGTAGACCAGAGATCAGTTGACCTCTGCCTCCCAAGTGCTAGGATTAAAGGTGTGAGCTACCAAACAGGGCTTAAATAGTATCACTTCGTAGTAACGAAAACAAAACACCTTTACATTGCTGAACATAATCAGTATTGCATTCTTTACTGTCAAATTCTGGCAAAAAAATTTTGATGCTATAAAATGACTTGATAAAATTTCAAAAACCATAGCATATTTTTCATTACTTCCAAAAAGTAAGCTATAGCACCATTGTCAGTCAGCATCAACTCTTTTGTTTTTTTGTTTTTGTTTGTTTATTTGGTTGTTTGTTGTTTGGTTGGTTGGTAGGTTGGTTTTTTGAGATAGTGCCTCTCTGTGTAACCTTGGCTGTCCTAGACTCAATTTGTAGATCAGGCTGGCCTTGAACTCACAGAGATCTACCTACCTCTGCCTCCTTGATTGCTGGGACTTAGAAGCGTGTGTCACCCGCACCTAGCTAGTATCAGTACTTTTATGGAATTCCTGAAATTGGTGGTGTTTACTCCCTCAGCCTTTAAGAAATTCCAGTCATGATGACTATTTGCATGGTGTTGTTATTATTTTCTTTTTAGATTTGATTCTTTTCATAGTAGCTCAAATTTCTTGACATTCCTATACATCCTTATATTACAAAAAAAAATGTATTCTTTGTGAGTTTCACATCATATACCCCACCCCAGTCCTGCTCATCTCCGAATTCCCCCATATTGTCCCTTCACCCTTGCAACCTCCCCAACAGAATAAAAAACAATGGAAACAAAAGCATAGAAAACATTTCATCATGGAAGCTGTAGTATGTTATAGTGTGTCCCACAGTATGTTGTACCCAGATCACACGACCCCAAAATACCACCACAAGTCGAGTCTGTTGCAAAATGCGTGAGGGTTTATTTAATTCAAGCTCGAGCCAGGTTGCAGCAACCTCCCTGGTGAAGAGGAGGAGTGTGGCCCAGAGATCTAAGGGAACAAAGTTTTTAAAGGGCAAAACCGCCAGCAGGGAGTTACATGCCTTGGTGTTACATGATTGGTTAAGGGAAATTGACTTTTGAAATAATTGTTTACTTTAGGCATCAAGTCCATAAATGGTTCTGGCCTGACCATCTGGGCCGGTTTCCTAGTAACTGTATCTCTAGTGAGCAGGAAAAGAACGAAGTGAGGGAGGTTCCTCCC